GGGGATAATACATGAAGTACGCTTGATATGTGCGTAACTACGACTTAACTCAATCATTGGTAATGCGTTACGCAAGAGGATTTTTTATACGCATACAGTTTGCGTACACGCGCATCCGTACACGCATGCACTCGCTCGCGTTCAAACGAACAGAGCCGGTGCCAAAGGTCACGATCAGATCGCGTTTTTCCTATCCGGAGTCGCTAAGGCCGTTGCTGTCTGTCGTGGTCTCTCATAAGAAGAAAGATTGTACGTCACCTATGCGAAAAAATGGCGTCCTGAATGAGAAGTATTGCGAAGAAACGAATTGTGACTCCGGAACGATGCTTATATCCGGCGGAAACGCGTATAACAATAATTTCTGCTCACTATTTTTTCAACAGACATTGTGATATCTTTTTTTTTCATTATAGAATTTTGTCGTTTATCATAATTTCTAAGTCGTGTTAATGTCATGCATCGAAGAATTTTGACTAAGAATTGTATAATATTCAATTAAATCCTTGTTAAGAAGGCATCGATTCGGAATTTGCTGAAGAATAGAAAAAAAATTGTGGAAAAATTAGAGTATATTATATATATGAAAATATGCTAAATATTAAGGGAAATCATGCGATGGCTTCGACTCTATCTCCGCAAAATTCTTGAGTGAATTAACTTGTAGATGTCGAGTCGTGTCCCACGAAGACGACGCGTGATACAGATAAAACGTTCCCTATCTCCTCTACACTCGATGAAGATGAAAACTCTGAGGATCACAAATCCATCTGCGCATCCAAATTTTATCTCTAGGGACTTATGTAAATTGTGAAACTATCAAATCTTGAGGCTTGGGAACGTGTAATGATAAAAGAAGACGTTTCGATAAGAAAAATCTTGGCGTTCGTATCTTCTTCAAGGTTCGACACTATAAGGAACTTATATGTATTCCGTAATTGATTATAATGATACAGTGTTTGCAGTTTATCTCTTAAGCAATAATTCAGATTGAACAAAAATGAAAAATGGTTTGACTTCCTCTATTGTTTAACGCGGATGCTCGGTTTGCGACATTCGCCTTTCTCTCATCGCGAATGATTCATCATCGCTGATTATCGACAGCAAACTAAGAGAGCACGTTCGCCTTTACGCTCACAATATCAGGTAAGAGAGTGCGATAGCTAGAGGGTACCGGACACGCGACAGGACCGACGAGCGCGAAAACAGGATAGTATTCGTGTGCGAGTGCAAGTTTGTTTCGCGCGCGTATGTGGGTTGAATTAGGCCTAACAGCTGTTTCGCGAAACCCTGACCTTGCCTGGCTTACGGCAACGTGTGTATGCACGGCCTACGCCGAACGGACAAGCCAGTCCCAATCAGCAGTACAGTCAATCAGTCAATCAGTCTGTCAGTCGAAGCAGGGGCAGTTGGGCAAACGAACGACTTTTCGTAATCGACGTCGTCGACTTGTAGGCTTACGATTTACCGGCGAGACAAAAGCTCGGCAAATCCGCCAGTCTGCATCTCGCCGGAGTGCTAGCGCAATAGACGGCGCCGACCGACACGTGTTACGTGATTGCGTTCATTGAACGCGCTCGGATAAAATGTTATTCGGCCTTTATGTAAATGAGCTATACGTCAATTCGCGACTTCTCTTTATATATTAAATTTTATTATTATTATTATTCAATTTTTATTATTAATATTTGAATTTTATTATATATATATAATCTAACTAGAGAAAAATTGTACGGAAAATAACACGCACGAATGCTGTTAATATTTTAACTTATGATTTATTTATTCGTAATTCTATGATTCTGTAAAACATTTTCTTGCACTTAGTTTGTATTTTTTTTTATTTTCTCGAAAATTGATTGTATTAATTACGCGCGTTACTGGAGCAACGAATTTTAGTATTAAAATAAGAAAAAAACCGATAAAAGAGAATTGATTACTTATATGAGAGCCACTGTTAGACTATATGTACTTCTTTCGAATAAATCATCTTTCGCCTCCTCACAGCGGAACCGAGTGATTCCATTTAAATGCTCCACTCTGTGTATTACAATCAAGTTGCAGAGTGTGGGCGACACGATCGTCTAGGCTCTAGAATAGTGTCTAGAGAGGCGCCACGTTTGTGCAAATATACACTCGTATGCGTTGTTTATACGTTCGCTGGTGCATTTATATTTAGCGTTCATTAATCGTGTGCAATGCATTGTCAGATCTCAAACGATTGTCGATATATTGGTACGCACTTGACGAGCATCGAAACTGTAAACATTTGTTCCCGTGACGTAAAGTTATTGAGAGAATATAGACAGATTATGCAAATCGTGAGATTAATTGTCAAAATATAATCTAGATCTTGAAATCATTTTCTGAAAATACTTTGTGAAACAAAGAGTTCATAAAAATCTTTTTTGAAATATGATTGCTGTCACATAATTGCTAAGTCTAACGAGAAAAATTTGTAGGCACTGAAGCACTCATGATGTTTTTAATTGTAGTTTTATTTATAATTTTAACGAATAATTTCTGTATTTAAAAAAAATAGTATATTAAAAAATAAGTTCGCCAACTGTTTTACTGCTAAAGCGAAAAATATCAAAATTTACTGATGATTTATGGCTATCCTTGCTTCAGTCAAATTTATTCGTAGCTCTTAGCACGTTATAAAAATATTTTTTTATCTATATTTTTATTTCTATATTTTTTTGTAGATATATAAATTGGATAAATTATAAAGAAGGAAATTGAGATAAAGGAAATTCCAAATAATAGCCGGAAAATCTGCACGCGTTGAAAACATACGGCCATTTTTTTTATCCGATGAATCTATGTTTAGATGTGAAAATAAACGATACGAGCACAAATTCCGGCGCTGTTTTTATTTTCTTCTTCCTCCACAAGCGTGTAAAAACTTTCGTGTATTATCGTAGGTCAGGCACATCATGCAAAAATAGTTAGTATTGAAAAAAATTGTGAAACAAACGCACTATTAATAGAGATTTCAAACAAAAATTGTCTCATAGGCTAATAGCATATCAATTTACAATTAGTGATCGATAAAACATCTATCGATGAAATTTTTATTTCCGATTTAGAAAAACTCTAATACATGCTACTCAAATGTCTACGTTTCTTTTTTATTTATATATTTTAAAAAATTTTGTGAAACAACAAGAAAAAGAAAGCATTTTATCTGGATTCGAGTTTTCTAAAATCACTGTGCAGGGGATATGTATGCATTTTCTTCTACAAAATGAATTTAATTCTGGCTATGTTACGATTTACAGTGCTCATTAGAAAACAATTAATCTAATTTGAAGATAAATTTTGAATTAATCTGCAAAATAGGAAACAAATTTTAGCCTAGGAAAAATAATAGGAAATAAATAATCTCACATTTCTAGAATATTTTAAGTTTCGCAGTAATACAAAAAATCTAAGAAAATAACATATTTATAAAGAAAAATACTCACGAAAATATACACGTATTACCGATCAGATCTGTCTAATTAATTTTATTTTTACGATATATATATTGCCTTGAGCTTGCAAACATTTCAAATCCATTTTTCTTACAAAGTATCATCGATACCAATTTCGAATTTGAAAGACGCAATACGAGTTGTGCACGCCTTCACGAGCCAAACGACAGATATATAGTTATTTTATCGCTTGGGCGCTATAAATAATCATCACGCCGTAGCGTACGCACTTCCGCATTTTTTCCGCCTCCATCCACGTCGCCTTCCACGAAGGCGGAGGGGCCCATCTTCTCGCATGATTGGGAATTAGATCCGGCATGGATAAAAAAAAAAAAAAAAAGAAAGAAACAAGCGCGTAATTCTCCGGGAACGTTTCGTGCGCGTCTGACCTTAAGGAGACGTTCCGTTCGCCAAGGCGCGCGCGTGCGCGAACATCACCCACACGGACACGAGTTTATTTATGCCGGAGTCAAATTGGCAAGCGCCCAACAAAACCCAAAGCGGCTGTACGAAAACTGAAGCATCCGCCAGCCCCAAATCCGCCTTTTGATTAGGGTCCCTACCTGTACCGTGTTATTTCGTATCTTTTTTTTTCTCACGAGATGAGACGAGGCGGAAGCGGCCCGGCTCTTTTGAGATATTTGACTTCGAGCGAAATAGGGCCGTCGTTGGGAATTAGATCCGGCATGGGAAAAAAAAAAAAAAAAAGAAAGAAACAAGCGCGTAATTCTCCGGGAACGTTTCGTGCGCGTCTGACCTTAAGGAGACGTTCCGTTCGCCAAGGCGCGCGCGTGCGCGAACATCACCCACACGGACACGAGTTTATTTATGCCGGAGTCAAATTGGCAAGCGCCCAACAAAACCCAAAGCGGCTGTACGAAAACTGAAGCATCCGCCAGCCCCAAATCCGCCTTTTGATTAGGGTCCCTACCTGTACCGTGTTATTTCGTATCTTTTTTTTTCTCACGAGATGAGACGAGGCGGAAGCGGCCCGGCTCTTTTGAGATATTTGACTTCGAGCGAAATAGGGCCGTCGACCCTTTCCCTATTTTCTTCGGTCGAGAGTTTGTCCAACCCGCCACAGGAATCCAACACGAACAAAGGGATCACAAAGGATGCCGAAAGAACACTATCCTCAGTTCGATTTCTAACTCGCAATATTTATCATTTTACTCTATACAGTCGTGCTAAGAATTATGTTTCTCGATAAACGTTCACGCGTGTTTACTATACAGATATAATTGTTACAATCAATTTAAAATGCGAATAAAGAAATAAAGAGTTGACAGGAAGGTGACAGCAACTTGTTCGCATGCAAGAATGTTTATCAATTTATCGAGAAAATAAATCGCATTTTATCTTACTGTGAAATTTCTCAAAAATGTATATGAAAAATTTTGGAATGACTCTGATAGACAGCATGTACCTCGTAATTGTCACGAATCTGCCAAAAATCGCAAACCGCCTTTATCTAGAGTTACATCGGAGATGATCGCTCTAATTCGACCTACTTTATGCGAATAGATTCCTAGAACGAAGCGGACCCCGGTCAGTCACGGAGCTAAAAAAAAAAAAAAGGGAATCATACTAGTCGAGCGGCGGAGTTGACGGAAGAGGAAGAGTATCTCATATAAGGTGCAGGCGCGACGGGTCGTTGGCCCGCAAAGAGTACACAGCAGGACAAGCAAACGAGCAGACATGATCTTCCCCCTTGCGGACCTTCGCCGACACAGCGAGGAGTCGGTTCCTCCTATCGGACCTCACCTGCACCGAATTCCTAGCTGGTCGGTCGCGGTCATTGACCCTCCTAGAAGCGAACACGCGTCTCTTGTATTGCGGTTACCGGAAGAATGCCAGTAGACCTTCGTTTACCGTATACATGATGAATCGAAATCGGAATCTTCATCAAAAGACGATCTGGAAACTTCTACCTTGACGATAAGCTTGAGATGTTATACTAGCACGTGTTTTAAACCCCCGCATATCTAATCCGTATCTTTGATAAAGAGGGAGACACGTTGTCTCGCGCCAAGCTATCATACGCAGCAAACGAGACAAACCGGGTATTTATACAGTATTATTTGAAGAGTTTTTTTCTCTGTTGGAAAATTTTGTTTATTATCGGATTTCAACAATTATCAATACCGGATAAAGAAATGTGGCTTATAGAGAAAAATACATTCGATCTCCTTTATGTGCAGGACTATCGATCAAATAATACTTATTTTAATAATAATAGTAATGTCAAATTATGCGTTTGTAGATTTTTGTATAAATTTTCTAAACTGTTTATAAAATAAAATCGCAAAAACTGAAAAGTTTTCTAACAAAGATCCTTCGTACATGAGTATGAATAATAATGCCTATTTTTTTGAATTGGCACTTCTATAGTGCAATGTGATATCAAGTATACTAGACGATAAGATACGTTTTGATTAGTACATTATATTGCGAATCTTCAGCTTATATAATTTACCGTGCGTTAAATAGCTTCAGTCACTAATAGTTGGTCCTAAATAAACTTTTCCAGTGACAGACGCGCACGTGTAGAATGCGGGAAAGGTATAATTATGTGTAGCCGAGGTTTAACGAAACCTCTTTGCATCGTAATAAATCATTCACAGCCGAGGTATATCTTATTGCGCGTAGTATCAAATCCAGCTCATGTGATATCGCTAATAGATGCTATCAGATATCGTCATACAGGACAGCCGGAAATCCTTGAATGATTCGACCGAGCGTCATCTCCGCACGTGGAATGATACCAACTCGCTAAGAGGTCACGGGTAACGACCTGACCCACGACTAAGCTTATCCTCGTTATCGCCGCTTTATCAACGCAGTTGGTTACGAGGCACTACTTCTTCGTTAGATATGTATAGTACACTTACTTGGATTATATGTATATTGTTGTTCTATGTGACGTTGTGTTCTTACGGTAATATTTGACTAGAATAAGATTAACCTGGCTTATTCCCAAAAAATGTCAAATATATAAAAAAGTATTTAAAGACTTGTATATAACAAATAGAAATTTAAAAAAATAGAAAATTAAGAGATTACATTTATATGTATTTGGCATTTTTTATCATAAAATAAGAGTTTATTGCTCACCGGCCGATACGCAGCAGTGAAGTTTATTATCTTGAAACTACACGTTGATCTGTAACATAAATATACATATGATCCAATTTATAATATAGCATCTAAAATAAATAATATTTTAAGAAATTATTATTGCGTATGTGTAAGCATCGAGTATAGAATTCAATGCGTACAACAATAAACAGAAAGGAAATTAATAGAATATTTATATATAATTTCCGAAAAATTATTGTTTTTTGGCTAAAATTATAAATTAATTAATTAATGTCAAAAGTATAAATAAAACAAACGCAGAAAATATTTCTTGCAGCACACACATAAATATAGTAACAATTAATGTATTTAATGTGCTTATTTTAAAATAAGCATTAATAACTACTAATAATATCTATTTTATAATTCGCCAACTTTATTTTAATTTTTCTTAGTCTGTTTCTTACTGCATTGTTTGATTTAGTGAAATATTTCAAAAAATACGATAGCATCTTTATTATGGGTTTTAAAGTTGATTTTGTTCTTATAGTTATGCGTGTTTGCCCTGCACGCAAACTTGCGTGTCCCTGAAATAGGTCGTCAAACTTTGACAGTATTCTTATAGAGTTGTTTGCCCGAAACAAAAAATGCTTATAACTCGGAGTAAAAGAGTTTTCCTATGACCTACGACCTCCCCTCATCTTCAAGAGAAATATATTATGCTCGTAAGTTTGGTGACCTATTTCAGGAATCCGTATAGTTTATCTGATCGCTGTTCGAATTTGGCGTCGCGCTTGCAAGAATGATATTTTACTCGGCCGCGAGAAAAAACGTGGTTTTATGTGACGCGATGATTCGATGATTAAACACGCGAGGTATGATTGAGTTCCGCGATGCTATTTTTATCGCCGGATGGCTGGAACCGGTCGACGGCGCGTCATCAATGTCCATTGCCGGAGACGGTATTAATATCGTTTTTTGACAAATAACATATAAAGCTTTATAAAAACAGTGTCAAAATAATTAAAAATTTAATGTCATCCATTGTATTCAAAAAATTTAAATAATTTCAGTTTTTACTTAAGCTAGTCTCAATATTTAATAGTCAATACTTAATCATATTCATTTCATAAAATGAATGAAGAGAACAAAAATAAAAAAATTGATACAAAGTTTGGATTATATAAAATCTATAGAAGCAGTTAATGAAAAAATATTGGGGAACGTGTTTGAAATGTTAACTAAAACATAAAATCCAAACGGTTATTTTTATATTGATATATAAACATACCTTTTTAAATTAGTTTATGTTGTAAAAAGATCCAAGTAACTTTTGTTTCATTGGTCTCTTCGAAACTATAAAGATGACACTAATTAACGTGCAAAAAAAAAAAAAAGATCACAACGCACTCGGAATATTCTTATGGAAATCCTCGAGGAAAATTAACAGGATTCCCCGCTGAATCGCCACTGATGTCAGAGCAATGTCATTGCATAATTAACGACATAATAACGCACGCGAGGCGAAGGCCTCGGGCAAGCTACGCTCGAAGGAAATCCCGTCATAATAAGAAAGCAGCGGCGTTTTTTCATACGCGTATATTAACCCGAAGAAGACAAATTGATTTTAAATAATTTCTTCATAAAAGATATCTGTAAGTGGCTACTGTTTCTAAATTTCTTTCACCGTTAGAGGATTTTAAAAGTTAAAAAATTGAGATTAAGAAAAAATTCAGTGTAAAATTTTTGTGTAAAAAGATTTGTCGTTAATATTTTAGATCGGATCTCGCGCATTTTTTGAAAGGAAAGAATCTTATTCTCGTTACGGATAATCACAATTCTTTTGCAAATTAAAATTACACAAGAGAAGACAAGCAGACTATTGCATGGTTAGACGATATTTAAGCCGGAAAAGTTTCTTTGGCAATGAAATAGGATCTCGAATTGTCCGCGTAAACGCGATTATATATGCGTGGGCCGTATATCTGCGATTCAGACAATGTGGCACTCTCGGATATTACCCGCCGATATTATATATAGACATAACATGTCGGTGTAGATATGTGTTCTCGTTCGGGAATAAGTATAATCGGCCGAAGAGAGAGAAAATCATCGTAGCAACGTATAGCTTACATCCGCGGTAAGCCGATGCGTAATAGAAAATGCGTCGGTCGCCTTGCGTCATTGCTCTGACACACCTACGATTTCTACGCCTCTAAAAGCGCACCTAACCGAAGTCCTTAATTGCCTTCTCACCATCGGTTATTATACGACTATTATACATTATGTGTATACGGTTATTGCAAGGAGGGGCTATTTCTAAACATTTGCCGCTTATTGTTTAGTCTCGCGCTCGCGTCAAACGATCGATCGCTTCCCAGAAATATACAGAAAGATAATGTGATAATCTTCTCATCACACGTTTTTTTCTACAGTAAATCATTACGGTATCGCTATTACGCGAAAATGGTTTCATCTTCGCAATAATTATAGACATGAATAAATTATTATTTATGTTTGAAGATTCAACAAGAGAGACAACAGCTGAAGTAATCCCAGAATAAACATTGCAAATATTAAATTTCAGGCATGACAAGGTAGCATTAATGTAATCTGGTAATAATGACATATAATTAGAAAATTTCCACGTAGCAAAATAAACATATATTATTTTTAATTTAACATTAAAATATGATATTAATATATATATATGTGTGTACGTAATATAGTTATGGAAAGAAAAAAATTATGTCTGTCGCATAAGTTTTTACTCATTATGTTAAATAAATATCTTCTTTTATATATCTCCAATTTCAAATTTTATATCTCTAATTTCCAGAATATTTATCATTCTTCAAAAGTGCAAATGTTTACAAGCTTCACATTTATATATATATATATATATATATATATATATATATATATATATATATACTAGTTGAATTATATTGTATATATCCTTCTTTGATTCGTACAATTAGTCGTCACTATAATATCAAACCGATATAGATAAATTAAAATATGCAATATATATACTGCCGCGGATGTTATTCGACGATCGATCGATCTATCGAAAGGAAAGTCGTTTTGCCGAAAGCGAGTCTCATCATGAAACTGTGAATCCATCGTGAAAGTTACATAATCGATCCATTGGCGACTGAATACCGGTGATACCGGCACCATTCGACCATTCTAACACCGATCGAAATGCCATATCCTCGCGGGAATATATTCCGCTATGGGAAATTATTGATGAATTGGCAGTTTACCCGCAGGTGTCGTTGCTCATTTGTCTGATCAGATACATACGTGTGTGATAGAAGTTTGCGAAAAACACATGCCGCGTGAGGCATGAATTTTCTGCATACATATATACAATATACGTTTTATATACGCGATTCAATATTTATACAATTTTCATTAAGTTTGGTGTAAAATAAAAATACATTATTCATTTATCACATCTATGTTTAAAGAAAATTAA